TTTTAGTGTGGGACCAGGGAAGTCCTCTTGGAGGAGGTGACATTGAGGTAGAGGTCTGAAAGAAGCAAGAGAGACTGGGATCAGAGCATCTGGGTGCAGGGAAAGAATTGCAAAGGCCCTGATGTCGGAGCACACCTGATTTGTTCAAGTGAGCTGAACAAATAACATCAGGAGTGAGTGAGGCAGGAGGCGGTGGGCATGCTGTGCAGTCCCTTGGGTGCTGCGAGGATGTGGGAGCTCTGAGGGCTGTAAGCATGGGTGTCCAAGTCCTGGACTCAGCGCTCTGGGAGCCCCCAGAACTGCCAGAGCCCCCCAGTGTCCTCTCATCTCCCCAAGTTCTCTAAGCCTTCCAGTCCCCATTTTCCAGACAGGGTCTGGTGAGCTTAACTCACTGCCCAGGAACCACACCCCTTCTACACAGTAGATCCATGATTCTAGAATTCACCAGGTCAAGAAACATACAAAGGCACCTACCGCTATCCACGGTGCAATGCTAACTACTGTGCTTTACAGTGTAACCAAGTGGCATTTTGGCTCAGATGAATGCTTGTGTGACAAAGGGTGCCACCATGGCCTACAGACTAAGGCGTAGGAATGTGACTTCAGGGGGACTATGGTAAGGTGGCGGATTGGCAGTCAGTGAGGTGAGGCTTCGATGCTGAGGGGCACACTTAGGTGGGGTGTTTCTGGTGTTTTGCTGAGGGTACAGTGTGGTTCCAAGCTTGTGCACTCCTGCCAGATTCAGGTGGATCAGCTGAGTTCCTCTGCCGCTCAGCTGCCTCAGTCTCTCCTTTGTGCTCTCTTCATAGGTATTTAATTAAGGCTTTTTGTGCTCAGAAAATGTGGTGTGGAACATAGGTGTGGGGGATTAAGCAAAGCAAAGCCTTCTTCCATGCAGGTCTTCCCAGAACCTGTAAGGTGCTAATATGTTCTCCACAGCTCCTGGAGATTTGATCCTTTTTTCTGTTGAAGTATGTTTGGGGTATCAGGTCTCTCGGCAGTGATACTATTTAACCCTGCCTTTACCCAAAGAGGAGCCTGAATGGTGGCATTTCAGGCAAATCCCTCTGGCCAATGATGAAAGGCTTCTTCCTCCTCCTCAGGGCCTGGGTGGGCAGAGAGACTGAAGCTCGTGCTCAAGGTCTCTGTGGACTGCAAACTCTGGAAAGGCCAAATTAGGATCTCTGAACTCCCAATACACTCACAAGTTCAAGGGGAGGTGGGTGGGGTCACGCAGGCAGGACTGGGGTAGGGGAGTCTCATTTCCTGGGAAGACCACGGAGTCAGGCGGAAATGTCCGATTCTTCTGTCCATTCTAGGGCCACCCGGGACATACGGGGTGGGCCGGATCCTCTGAAAGCTGTTATTTCTGTTGCCATGATGGGCAGTGAGACAGGGAGGTTGGGCAAAACTGAGAAGGCACAGGGACACCCCCAGTTCTGGTGCACCTTGGCCTCATGTCTGAGGTGGCCAATCCTGGCTATGGCCTGGACCCGGGCTGAAGGGCCAGCTCTCCCCACCCCCACTTCTGCACTATCACGCCTCTGGCTACTCGGGCTGCACCTGTGGCCACCGCGGGGGAGGAGCCTCGCAAACTGTGTTGCCGACAGTTTCCTGCCACAGCTTCCTGCCTCTGAGGCTGGCTTCACTTCCCCCACCCTCCCCGTGGTCCCTGGACAAGCCCCTACCTTGCTAACTTGTCCTGTGTCCTGAGACTCTGGGGGAGAAGCTGGAGGAGTATGTGACTGGATTTGGGAAGGCGGAGGCGGAGAAGGTTGACCTAGTGCAGAGCACTGAGTGGGTGAAAGCACAGATTTGAAGGAAGACTGACAGCACCACCCAGCTGGAGTATGAGTCAATGAAGTAGGCAGCAGGGAGCCGCAGTGGGGATTTTGAGCAAGGAAGGTCTGGGGAAGAATAGTCTAGAAGCTACTAGCAGATCCTAGACTCAGCTCATGTAGAAAACAGACTGTGGGATTCAGCCAGCCACAGGCACCCACCCTGTGAATTGGGGCAGAATCTCAGGTTTTATTAATAGAAGCAGTGGGTGGAGATCAAGCGAGGTGATGCCAGCACAGACCGACCTCGAGAGAGAGCTGGACTAGACGGGGCGGCCATAGACACACAGTCCATGTAGGGCAGGCGCTGGGGAATGAACGGAAGTCAGAGAGGGAGGAATCCAGCAAGGAACTGATAACCTGAGGTTCAAGCAAGAGTAGGTGTCCTTCACTGGCGTCCATCGCTCCGGAGACCCAGTACTGGGGGTGCTATATGCCCGCGGGTTCCCATCCTACACTGGTGATATATTAGTGAGCCCTGCTCTCCTCCTCCTCCAGCCACCACCTCACACCCTTCAAGGCAGGGCAACCTGGGCAGGAAAGGGCTGGAGGAAAGGGCTGAAGAGAAGAAAGTATAGTTTTCACACAATAACATCTACCACTTTGGTGAATTCTGTGAGATTTGACAAATGCATATAGCTGAGAAGCTATCATCTTAATCAAGAAATAAACAATTCCTTCCCTCCCCTGTCGGGGCCGGGCCTACGGCCGAGGCACCGTCCTCCATTACAAGATGGCGCTGGGACGCCTGCCAAGCCTAGAATGCCGCATGATCGCAGGAGAGCCGCCAGGGAGGAAATAAGCACCATTGGACACCATTAGGCTGGGGGTAGGAGGGCACTGCTGATTTGCTAATCCGTGCACCTGATAGAGTCTGATTGGGCTCCGGGAGATATAAATACGCTGCGCAACAAGAAAGAAGAGGGGAGTCTGCTTGATAACAACCAGGGCGTCTTGTCGTTTCTGCAGGTCGGGAACGACACTCCCCCAATTCCTTCATACCGTTTCATAGCCAACCCTGCCCGCTTGACCCCCAGCCGCTGGCAACCACTGACACCTTCTCCGTTGTGACAGGTGTAAAGGGAACTATATAGTCTGCAGCCTTCCAAATGAACGCGTGCTGGTTAAGGCGCGTTCACAGGGCTGTGCTAAAGGGTTGTGCCACCAGGGAGGGCCCCCTCCCAGTCTGCCTTCTTTTACTCAGCACTATGCATATCAGCGTTTCATTCCATTTTATTGCTATGGAGCATTCCAGTGCAGGGTGGACCAAGGGTTAGCCATCTGTTGCGAAGCAGTTGTTTCCAAATTTTGGCAGTTAAGTATCGAGGGATTATAAAGCCCCTGTGCAGGATGTTATGGGAATGCAAGTTTCCTTTTCTTTAGGGTGAGCTAAGCTAGGATCCCTCCCACAGGTCATAGAATGGTGACTGGTGTCTCTAGGTGGGGACACAGGTGCAGTCCGCTGAATGATGACCTGCCTGAAGCTGTTGGGACGCCCATGGCCCCCCTCAAGCCTGGTCCTCCCAGTCCTGGCGTCAGAAACATCCAGCTCGTGAGAATGCAGATCTGGCCCCTCCAGCTGTCCTCAGCCAGATCTCACCTGCTGCCCATCCAGTTTCTTCCTGTCCTTCCCAGTGCCCATCCTTGGAAACTGGACACTGGGGCACTGGGCCACCAGGGAAGGCAGCCTTTCTTAACAACAAATGCTTTCTCTGTGCTCTTTGATTAAATTTGTTTGACTCAGGAGGGTTCCTGGGGATACTTCCTCAAAACAAATCTATGCCAGGATGACCTTGCTGGGCCCACCTTAGAGAAATAACTAGACACTGTCCAGGAGAGATAACATTTTCAACATTATGTAAAAACTTACAAATATATAGGAAAATGGGAAGAATTCTTTATATACCCACAAAGGACCCCAGAGCCTACAATAAATGTTTTGCTAAAGTCACGATAGTTATATACAGTCACTCCTCATGAATCGTGGAATCTCTCTTTGCCAGTTTGACTACTTGCTAAAATTTATTTATGGCGCAAACATGAGCAGTATTTTCTCTGTCACCTGAGGACATACACAGACAGAGCAAGACATTTGAGCCAACGGGTGTGCACTTTCCTGCAGGGGTTGAACAAGGACACACTCCACCTTCTTATTTCGGCCCTTATACTGTAAACAGCCGTACTTCTTGTGATCTATTTGGTGCCATATTTTGTGCTATTTTGCTGATTGCACTGTTTAACTAACCCCCGGGGCTGTGCTGACCTGCGGCCTGGTGTTCCTGAGCATGGGAAGCCTGTGAGGTGCTTTACAGAGAAGACGCCTGTTAGATAGGCTTAAAGTGCAGTGCCATTGCCGGCTGCGGGTTCCATGCGATTCAGCCAAACACGTACAGTCAGGTGTCTATAAACACAGCACACACAGCAAGTTTATATACTGAACGTCTGGCAAAAAGCTGTGACCAGAGACTCAAAGAACTTTTAACCTGTTTTTCCCTCCAGCCTTTGCACCTGTGTGCATTCTGAAACGTTAGCGCTTCCTCCTCTGTCAGTTGTCTGCACACTGCCCGCTCCTCAGAAAGGTGACCCACCTCGACTAGTGACCTCATAGAACTGGCTTCACGGTGGCCTCTTCTTCTCTTGCTGTCACTCTGCTTCCTTTATAACAGCGACTTAGCAGAGTTGCTCAGCGGAAGCTGCTGGACCCATAACAGCGACTTTAATCTGTAATTATTACTTTTGTTTTCCCTCTTGTTTATTGTCTTTCCCCCTCAAACCATACCTGTTTTATTCATCCGTCTCTCCAGCATCAGCAAGAATTCAATATCGGCATGAGAAATCAATCAGTAGTTCCAGGCGCTGGCTGTGTAGGCCAGTGGGGGTGCCTGGGCGCTCCACATCAGGGTTCTGAGAAGTCAGAGGAGGGTGGGGGCTCCCGCACCTCAGCCCAGCAGGCTGGGGCTCCTCACTGAGTTGACTGTGCCACCAAGGAGGCTGGCAGACCCAGGGGTGTGGCGTGGATGCCCTTCAGTGTGGGGGCTCTCTCACTATCTCTGCACCAATGAGCATGGTTCAGGAAGGGAAGGCGAGGCCCTGACGCACCCCCAAACACCCTGTAAACCCACAGGGCACCGAGAAGCTCAGCGAGCGCATCCTGCGTGGGCGATGCCGGACCCCGCTGCGCACCTGCCCTTCTTCTATGGCAGCATCTCGCGCGCTGAGGCCGAGGAGCACCTGAAGCTGGCGGGCATGGCAGACGGGCTCTTCCTGCTGCGCCAGTGCCTGCGCTCGCTGGGCGGCTACGTGCTGTCGCTGGTACACGACGTGCGCTTCCACCACTTCTCCATCGAGCGCCAGCTCAACGGCACCTATGCCATCGCGGGCGGGAAGGCTCACTGCGGCCCAGCCGAGCTCTGCGAGTTCTACTCGCGAGACCCCGACGGGCTGCCCTGCAACCTGCGCAAACCCTGCAACCGGCCGTCGGGGATGGAGCCGCAGGCTGGCGTCTTTGACAACCTCCGCGACGCCATGGTTCGCGACTACGTGCGCCAGACCTGGAAGCTGGAGGTGAGACAATTGCGGGAGACAGGCACAGGCCTGGTAACCACGGGGGCAGTGGGGACTCGGGAAGTGAAGCGTGGCCGGGGAGAGTGGTGGCCTTTGACCTTCTGGCTTAGGGGTGCTTGTGGGGTTGGGAGCTGAAGGAGAGGGATCTTGGGGGGGGAGGGGCGGTTCTCTGACGCAGGGCTTGAGCAACACTGACCCTGCAGTCTGTGCTTGAAGGGAAGGTGGAGGTGTGACTGGGGCTGGAGACTACACTAAGCCATGCACTATGCCAGATCTTCAAATGGAGACAAACTTGGGGCTGGGGGCCCCAGGGAGGAACAGACAAGTGTGTGTGTGTGGGGGGGGGGGGACTTGGGGTATAGCCCTGCCTGCACTGAGCCTAGGTGTATTGGACAGGGACCATGGAGATGGGAGTCTGGCAGGAAATGGTGCCCTCAACAGCCTGAAGACCTCACCCCTGGTGTTCCTGGGTGGGGCAGGGGTCTCCTGGGGAGGGTCTTGGAGTGGAAAAGGTGCCTTCTTGTGGCCCTGGCTGGGTGATACTTAAGTCTCCTCTTCCCCCCATCCCCTTCCGTAGGGTGAGGCCCTGGAACAGGCCATCATCAGTCAGGCCCCCCAGGTGGAGAAGCTCATTGCCACAACCGCCCATGAGCGGATGCCCTGGTACCATAACAGCCTTTCAAGGGAGGAGGCTGAGCGCAAACTTTACTCGGGTTCCCAGACCGACGGCAAGTTCCTGTACGTGAGGTTTGGGGCCTGGGGCTTTGGGGTGGTCAGACTGGGGCTTGTTGGCCAGAATTGCAGAGGTGGATTGCACAGGGTGGGGGAGGACACTGTTCTGTGTGCAGGTGGGCTGTGAAGGGTGAGCCTGAGCTCACATGTGCTAGTGTGTTGGGTGCTTCTGAGTGTGCAAGGGACCTGCTACATGGGAAAGCAACAGCAGTGGTCAGGACTCCAGAACTGAAATGCTTGAGCTGGAATTCCACTTCTGCTCTTTATCTGCAGTGGACTCGGTGAGTAGCTGGACTTGACTGCCTTGATTTCTTCTTCATTCAACAGATATTTGCTGAGTATCTATGGGTCAGGCACTGTCTTAGGCATTGGGGCTATGTCAGTGAGACTCCTAGCCAAACAGGATGAATCCATGAAATGCAGACTCCGTCAGGTGATGGGAAGTGCTCTGTGTGTACCAGGTTGCACATTTCAGTTAGGAAGCCTCTCGGAGAAGTGGCTTTTGAGGAAAGAATTGGAGGTGAGAAGTGAGCTATGCAGCTCTCCAGCAGGAGGGTCTTTCTGGAAAAGCAAGTGAAGGGAGGCAGGTGGTTGGCATGTTCCAGAGACAGCAAAGGGGCCCGAGTGCTTGGAGTGAGTGAGTGTTGGATGGGAGGCGACTGGCTTTTAGCTTGAATGAGGTAGGAGCCCTGGAAGTGTGTTGAAGCAGTACTTTCCAGCTGTCCTGTGGGGGACACTATTAGAACAGGAGCTCCTGAGTGACTATGTGTCAAGCAAAAGTATATAGTCTCAGGCATATACCCCAGTCGCACTAACTGTTAGCTCTTATTACTTGTGGGTGAACGTGTGTGTCTCTGCTCATGGCTGAGCCGCAGCTGAACCATGTGACTGTGCTTGTTATTGTAAAGCAGTCTTTCCAAAACTATTTAAAAAAAAAACCCTGCTGGGTGTTTGAAAGTTCTGCTGGGGCAGCTGCTTTCTGGTCTGGGCCATGGTTCCTTTATATGGCAGATGTTACCCAGATATCAGCTAAGATCAGTGTGGAGATATAGAGAAACTTGGTGCCTGCCTCTTTTGTATGTCCTTAGGAAGTCCAGAGCCCTTCCCATGAGTGCTGCGAATTTCCAGGGGACTCCCTTCTCATGGTTGCTCCTTGACCTGAGTTGCTGCCTAACTGAATGCTCGCTGTCACTCTCCTCCCCTAAAGCAATCCCTTCTCATGGGGCTAGCCCATCTGGCTAACCCTCTCCTTGATCTCCCGCACTCACGCGAGGTCTGCTCATGCCCTGTGAGATGCAGCTCCCAAATTCTGCTGTTAGCTGGTAAAATGATTTTTTTTCACCCTGCCAAACGTATTTAGGCTGTAAATCAGAGTGAACTTTCCAAAGCTTCTGAGGGAACTCTTGAATGCATGTTATCATTAATGCTCAGCTGCAATGATGACATTTGAATAACTAGTGAGAGGACTGTTGTCTCCAACAAGGTAAACTTTACTTTGCATCTGTATCAGCTTTTGCTACCTAACAAACAGAGCCAAATCTACTTGTTCAAAACAACAAAGTTTATCACTTCTCATGATGCTGTGAGTCAACTGAAGAGTTGTGGCTTGGGTCAGCTGGCTGGGACTGAATAGGTTGGAATGGCCACGCTCATGTCTTTGGCTCTTGGCTCAGTGTCACTTGGGTTACGGGTGTGCGTGGCCACAGTACTGTCATCACACAGCAGGTTGGAGCCTGGGCTTCTCCACGTGGAATTGGTTGGAGGGTTCCCCGAAACAGGCAACAATGGCAAGTTGCAACACACAAGCGCTTTTCAAGTCTCTGCTTTTGTAACGCTTCTGATGTACTGTCAGCTAAAGCAAGTCGTGTGGCTAAGACCAGAGTCACCGTCGGGAAGGCGGTGTCCAAGGGAGAAGAAACGAGGCAGTCGTTCTGGCAAATGGCCTCTTATGGGCTTGCTACAGGTACTCGTAGGAAGGTGACGGACATCTTGAACTTCAGTGTTTGGGGTTATCTTTCTTTCTCTTTGGACTGTAAATTTGAGGTCAGAGCATGTGTCTGGTACTTCCACCGGGCTCCGTCACTGCTGACAGGTACTTGTCCAGATGCTACCCACCTTCGTGCAGATGCTGCACACTCCCTCTTGAGTGTGATACTTGCTGAGACATAGCCAGCATTTGGTCACATAGTCGCACACATTCCCCTCTCACTTACTCTCGCAAGTGGAACTGGATGCCCGAATGTCTGCGCCCAGCCATTCTCTCTAAGCCCAGCCCCTTGAAAGGGTTCTTTCTCTTTGTCCATGTTTTCCCCTTCAGGAAGTATAATTTCATCTTTCTTTGTTATCACAGTCTCGATTTCCTCCTCTGATTTCATCTCAAGTCCCTAATTCATCTTTTTATTTCCCAGTCTCACCTTGCAGTCTCAGTCTTTGCCTTTCCTCTGTCTTTGTTTTTCTTTCCTCTTCTCTCCTCCTGTCTTGCCTTCCATTCACATTCCCATACAGATGATGATTCCACTCATCTTGTGGATTAATACTTTCCCCCAGATTCCCTAAGCCATCTTGCAAGTATGAAAGGGCTCTGGGGTGCAAGATTCTGAGCCTCTACTGCAGCCAGCTTTCAATTTTTTTCATGTCTTAAATCCCTATGGAAGGCGTTGTTTCACTGAGGCAAATTTGTAGACTTTTTGCATTAATAACCCAGAGTTTGTACAAGCTTAGAGTTGACTAGTCTGTTGAGGTAAGAGAATCTCAGGGGCAACAACTTTGAGCAACTGTGCGTGCTTTGGATGCTTGGTTGGTTTCAAAGACACAGAGGATCAGCGCTGACTGTGAGAGGTTGAGGCTGAGCGAGCTATGATCAGGGTTTGGTACAGAGGTTGAGGCTGGCACTGAAGTTAGAAGCAGTTGGAGCAGTGATGTTGAGTTACGGCGATTCATGCTGGGGAAATATCAAGAGACTAGGAAGAGCCACAGTGAGGCAGGCTCCTGGAGAATCAGGCAAGGCAGGCCAAGACAGCAGCCATTGTGGATTCTTCTTGTGGTTCCTTTAGTTCAATAAATATTTTTTCAATATGCAGTTCGGTCTGAAGGTCAAAGCTGTAGACATAGAACCTTGCATGGGGCAGGAGAGAGAGGACTCCTTGTAGATCACCATGCCTGGGACGGGTCTAGAACTGTTCTGGTTTTGAGACAAGGGAGCAGGTTTGATAATAAGACATGCTGCTCAGGCCTGCAGTTTGGAGCAGGCCCCTGGTTACCTGTGGCCACAGTGCAGAGGGGCTGGACTAGTGATGTTGGATAGCGGGTAGAATTGTCCCTAGTGATGTTGGCTGCAAAACTTGATTTATTTACACATAATTTCAGCATGACTGATTCAACTTGAAAAAAATCTCAACCCCTGGAAAGGACCTTAAATAGCATATTCAGTGTTTCTTAATGTTTTTGATGACAGACTCCTTTGGGTTTTTTACTGAAGCTAAATTCCTCTCTCAACTCCCCAGAACTTACGTGCCCCAGAGATATTGCATGCCATTGTATCAGATCATGGTTGATGCTGAAACTCATGCTAGGTGCTCTTTTCAGGCAAAGAAACCCCAATTTAGTTTATTTATCTCATTTTGCATGTATGGAAATGGAGGTACACAGGGCTAAGAGACTTGTTCAGGATTGCACAGGTAATCTCTAGCAGATGGGCTCTGACTTAAGTAGCAATAAACTACAAGTTAAAAATGTATTTGAATCCTTATTCTGTCCCTGGACATTGAGCTCACTCACATGGCTGCAGATTAGGCAAGAGATGAAATTTCCTTATGCCTCAGTTTCTGCATCTGTACTAATAATTGTATCTATCTGTGAAGAATGGTATGAAGATTAAAGACAAATATGCAAAGAATTTAGAGCCAATATCTTCAACGGTAGCTCTTATTTTTGGTTACCATTATCAGAGTCTGCACATTTTTTTAAAAATGGAGACACAAGTTGATTTCTTAGCTTAAGTTCAAGTCTGAACTGCAAGGACACAGAACTACCATCACCCAGTGGTTTTTGGTAAATATAGAAGAATTTGTGGTATTAAAGTACATATGGGGAATCACATGTATCTTTGCTTATGTGGCTTTTAATTAAGAATGAGTGACTGCCTTTTACAAAAAGATTTATTTATTTGTGCATACAGAACTGGGGTACAGGCCAGAGGTGCAGGGGTGGTGAGAAGCTTCACCAGAGACAGAGTGGGGAGCAGAACAGGCAGATCAATGAAGTACACTGCTGAGGGCAGCAGCGGGCCAGACAGAGAATTCTGCAGCTTCACGTGGGTCACCTCCCCACCAGGGATCAAATTAGGGCTGAAGTGGCTGCGAATAGCTTCACAGTGCTGTTTATTAACCAGCTGTGCCAACAGGGAGGGCCCGAATGACTGCCTTTCATGTCTCACCTGTCTTTTCCCAAAGAAGAGGTGTCGGTTAGTCTTTACTATAACAAAACACCCTAAAATGTCATGGCTTCAACGAACAGTCATTTATCACCCCCCGCCCCCCTTAAGCAATGGGTTGGAGATTGGACCAACCTCAGCCGAGAGGTTCTTCTGCTAGTTTTTTTACGTTCACTCATGAGACTGCAGTCCACTGGAGGGTCAGCTGAAAATAGATGACCTAGCAGTTGGCAAGCCGGGGTGCCTCTGTTTTCCACGTGAGGTCTTCAACAGGTTAGCACAGACTATTTCTCCTGGTGCTCGAAGGGTTGCCAGGAGTGACTTGTGTGTCATGTTTGCTAATGTCTTCTGGGCCAAAGCAAGTCACATAGTCAAGCCCTGCTTTAGGAGAAACAGAAACAGACTTTTTCTATCGATGGAAAAACTGTCTAATATTGTGGCTTTTCTTTCTTTTTCTTCTTCACTATTCACACACACATTTGCTGGTGAATGACTGGGTGTTGAGTTTCTGTTGTCACTTCAAAACTTAAGTGTTCACCTTAGGAGGTGTCTTCACTCCTCAGCAGGAGAAGCAGCAGTCAGAGACGGTCACCTCTAGGCTAGCCACGAGCCTGTGCGTGGAAGTGCTTTTCTTTCGGTGGGACATTCGTGTTTCTTAGTTGGCTGTGGCGTGGTCTTCTTTTCTCTTCGGCACTTCCCCACAGCCGCTCGTTGGTTTCCAATTTCTCCAGATATCGATGGTTGTAGGCAAGGCTGGGAACATCGGCCATCACTGCATTGTTTCCTGGGGAAACGCCTAGCTGAGAAGTCGTTCACGGCTCCAGCCTGTGCCTCACTCAGGTTTTGTCATGGCCACTTAGGAGTATCTCTAGGTCCTTTGTGCCTAATGAAGGGCCTGGTTGCACGGTGGGCCTCTATCTGCCATGTTCACCATTGTACCTCTGCTCTCCTAAGTGTGCCCACGCTGTGGCCCATACTTAGGAAGTATTTGTCCAGTGATGATGTCTGTGGGCTGGGCCATGTCCTATTCGGGAGTTTACCCCTCCAAGGGTGTCCTCTGCAGGCCGTCCCAGTGGCATTGTCTGCTGGCCACTGCTAGCCAGCTCTTCTGTAACTCAGTGCAACCCTTAGATTTGGTCAGTTGCCATAGGGCCCCTCCCCCAACTGCTCTCATCCCTTCATTAGAAATCCATACATAATTTGAACCTTGTGCCAGAGGCTCCAAATACAACTGTCTTGCCTGGTTTCACCACAGGGTTGGGCTGCAGCGGCTGGCTCTAGATGTGTGTGTGTTTATGTGCCGCTGGTGGTGGATCTGATCAGGTTGGTGTGTGTATGCATATGTGTGGCCTGATCTGTTCCTACAGCACAAAGTTACCATCTTTGAGGGGCACAAGTCCCATTCATATTTTGGCAAACTCTCCAAAGAGGACAATCAGGGGTTCCTTCTGCTAAAGGCTAATCTGTTATGAGGATGAGGTGATTCTGATTTGTACACAGTTTCTGGGAGCTTACCTTTGTTGCGTTTCATGTAGAAATTAATTAGCTTCCCAAAAGAATGTTCTTCAATCTACCTGTGTAGACACGTGTGTCCCTGGGAGTGGCTCTAGCAATCTCCCACAGAGCCAAATATCCCTTGATCGATGACCTTGCGGACACCCCAACAACCAAATGTTCCCCCTGCCCAGTGACCAAGTGTTTCCCTTAGCAAACTGACTATTCGGCCATGGAGGACCAGGTGTCCACTGCCGATGGCCAAATGTATCCCCTTGGATGTCAGGTGTCCAGCTGGGAGTGGCAGTGTCAGGTACACAGTGACCTGTCCTCTCTGTGGACAGCTATGTCTCTGTGAACATGGTCATTCTCCCGTTGGCTCCCCTGGAAATCTGGAGGATGACTAGGGCCTGATCCCACCGCCCCCCTCTCATCTCTGTATTTCTTTGTGAAGTTATGTGGTACAGAGTCCTAGGGTATGTATGCAGGAATTGGGGTATAGGAGGGGTACCACAGGAAGGGCCAGCTCATTGCAGGGGTGACATCCCCTTCTTGTCCCCACCAGGCTGAGGCCCCGAAAGGAACAGGGCACGTATGCACTGTCCCTGATCTATGGGAAAACTGTGTATCACTACCTGATCAGCCAGGACAAGGCGGGCAAGTACTGCATCCCCGAGGGGACTAAATTTGACACACTCTGGCAGGTAAGCTGCCCATCTCCCCTGCTGTGGGAGAGAGGCTGTGGTGGGGTGCTCAGGATCTTGGGGGAGAGCCAGGCCCTGACCCCTCTCCCTGCAGCTGGTAGAGTACCTGAAGCTGAAGGCTGATGGGCTCGTCTACTGCCTCAGAGAGCCCTGCCCCAATGCCACTGCCAGCGCCAGCACAGGTGAGTGGGTTAGTGGGCATGGGGTGAGCAGGAGACCCCCTCCCCCACCCTCTCACTGTCCTTTTTGCTCTCCCAGAGGCCGCTGCTCCCACACTCCCAGCCCACCCATCCACATTCTCCCACGTGAGTAGGCTGGCATCTCAGAGTTGGGCCCCAAGGTTGGTGGGTGGGCAGTGGTCCTGTTTCCAGGGTGAGGCTGCACTGGAGTTGGAACAGAAGAGTGTCCCCAGTACTGCCCCTCAGAGAAGATGGGGATCATGAGAGGGTCGGTGCCCCCAACTTGGGCCTGCTCACCCGTGGTGACTGTGTGACCTTTAGATTCAGAGACGGATCGACACCCTCAACTCAGATGGATACACGCCTGAGCCAGGTGAGCTGACAGCAGTTGAGTGTGGGGGCCTGTCTGAGGTGGGAGCAAGGTCCCTGGCTGCATTCCAGGGTGGGGTGGGGTGTGGGCCAGGCCTGCCCCGTGCACACTCTTCTCTGCTCATGCCTGCCTGTGTGCATGTACATGGGGTGCTTGCTGACTCACAATCTACCTGTATAGACACGTGTGTCCCTGGGAGTGGCTCTAGCTATCTCCCACAGAGCCAAATATCCCTTGATCGATGACCTTGCGGACACTCCGACAACCAAATGTTCCCCCTACCCAGTGACCAAGTGTTTCCCCTAGCAAACTGACTCCCTGGGCACAGACATACCTGTTAAGCATCTGTATGTGTCAGGCATACTCCCAGCGTGTGTATTTATGAACCCATCGAACCCACCTAACGGGCCATGGGAAATTGTTATGATTATTCTCATTTATGGATAAGAAAGGAAGGACAAGTAGCTTTCTAAGGCCCTAGAAAGTGCTGGAGTGGGATCTGAACCCAAGCAGTGGGCTCCAGAGCCATGCTTCTGCTGCAGATGCTCATGTGTGTGCCGAGAGGCCAGACTGTCCATGGTGTGCACAGGGGACGAGTGTGGTTGCGTGTGTGCTTACCTTCAGAGCCCTTGTAAATCTGGCTAGTGCTGCCCACACCGACACGCCAGACACCAGCACATGCCAGTGTACACATCTGCACAGATGCACACACACTCCAGCGGGCACACTCTGGCTACTCTGGCAGACATGCCTTTGGGCCTCCAGCACGAAGAGGGACATGGGTGGGCGTGAACGAGGGTGCAAGTGCATGTGCATACAGGGACAGCCACATGTGAGCACATGCGAGCCAGGGCCCCTGGGTACACATGCACACGGATGCACACACCTTTAGTGTCCACTTGGGAGTGTCTTCCCAGTGCACTTATGGATGGGACCAGGAATACACGCAAGTATACACACATCTGAACACACATGTACACACGTGCCTCTGTATGCTGGACAATGCATCCCTGTCCAGGCATGTGCCTGTAGGCTGCCAGGCTGCCCTGTGCTCCCCAACTCCTCTCCCTCCTCCTCACTCTGGGGGCCCATCTGTGTGTGTGCCCAGCACGCCTAGCATCTGGGAAAGCTCGGCCGATGCCCATGGACACCAGCGTGTATGAGAGCCCCTACAGTGACCCTGAGGAACTCAAGGACAAGAAGCTCTTCCTGAAGCGTGAGAATCTCCTGATGGCTGACATTGAACTTGGCTCCGGCAACTTTGGTTCAGTGCGCCAAGGCGTCTACCGCATGCGCAAGTAGGATCGCCCCTGCCTAGGTGGGAGGGACGCGGTGGTGGGGAGCAGAGGAGGCGCGCCCTCGCTAGGCCTTGGGGGTTGCAGTCAGGATATCCCATCAGTTTGTTTGGGAACAGCTCCTGGGACAGCCTGCAGGTGGGTTTCCTAGAATAGCTATAGGCAATGCTTGCAAGGAAGGAGCCAACAGCCGGGCGAGGGAGAGACTGGGCTGGGCTGCAGTTGCCACAGCAGCCAGGGGAGCTACAGAGGGACCCCCCCTGTGCCGCTGCATGGGCCGGTCATTTGGTTCAGGTTACCCCTACAAAGGGTACAACTTCGAGGCAGTTTTTTTCCGTGAGGAACTGAGCTCTGAGCTGCCTGAGCCAACACTTCTAACAGCCAGGGGGAGGAATAAGGCCTTGACCTTGAAAAGAGTCTAACTACAGGGGTTTTGCTCTTAAAGTCCTGAGAGAAGAGGCAGACTGGGAGGCACGAGGGGTCTGGGAGGGCCCGGGCACGTCATGCATGTGTTTGTGCAGGAAGCAGATCGACGTGGCTATCAAGGTATTGAAACAAAGCACGGAGAAGGCAGACAAGGATGAGATGATGCGTGAGGCACAGATCATGCACCAGCTGGACAACCCCTACATTGTGCGACTTATCGGCGTCTGCCAGGCCGAGGCTCTCATGCTGGTCATGGAGATGGCAGGCGGTGGACCCCTGCACAAGTTCCTGCTTGGAAAGAAGTGAGCCCCGGGCAGGCTGGGGCCTGGTCCTGCCCACTCACACCTATATCCACCACCCATGAGTGCACTCAGTTTTGCAAGCCCACCCCTTCCACACTCTGACACTCATCCTCACATCCGCAACATGGAGCTGTTAATTGCGCCGATGGTGGAGCCTGAGCTCTGGCCGGATGTATAAGTTTGGGAATTGTGCGTGATATTTAAAGCCTTGAGACTGGATGAGAGTAGAGGCTGTTGCCTTTTTGTTTTAATCCTTGCCTCCCCAGCCTCATTGCTGGCACACAGCAGGTGCTAAATAAGCATCTGTTGGACACATGCTCACCTGGGACAGAGAAGTAGATTTTGCCCCTTGGGAACTTGGGTTGTCCCTTCCCAGTGAACCCCACCTTTCCTGGCACCACAGGGAGGAGATTCCCTTCAGCAATGTGGCAGAGTTGATGCACCAGGTTTCCATGGGGATGAAGTACCTGGAGGAAAAGAACTTCGTGCACCGTGACCTGGCTGCCCGCAATGTCTTGCTGGTCAACCGGCACTACGCCAAGATTAGTGACTTTGGCCTCTCCAAGGCCCTGGGTGCTGATGACAGCTACTACACTGTGAGCCCCCATCTGCAGGGTGCCCAGATGAATGGGGTTGGTGGGTGGAAGGTCCCTGAACCCTCCCTCAGCAGTACTTCCAACTCCCCAGGCCCGCTCAGCAGGGAAGTGGCCACTCAAGTGGTATGCCCCCGAGTGCATCAACTTTCGCAAGTTCTCTAGCCGCAGTGACGTCTGGAGCTATGGAGTCACCATGTGGGAGGCCTTCTCCTATGGCCAGAAACCCTACAAGGTAGGTGTGGGTAGAGGGGGGTGGATGGCTGGGCAGGAAGAGGGTAAGGGTGAGGGCCCTGGTTACTCACATGTGCACTTATTTCTGCTTGAGCAGAAGATGAAGGGACCTGAGGTCATGGCCTTCATTGAGCAGGGCAAGAGGATGGAGTGCCCACCAGAGTGTCCACCCGAAATGTACGAGCTCATGAGCGACTGCTGGACCTACAAGTGAGTGCGGGTGGGCAGAAGGGGACCTGCTGACCCTCGCCTGGGACAGGAGTTCTTGGTAACAAATTGTCATTCCAACTTAACGCTACCTGGTGTTATTCCACTCACACTCACCTTGTTCTTGAGCTTTCCAACATGTATTTGGAAACCTTTATTCCACGTGCACCCATGCTTTGACCCTCCAGTGCCCCCACTGGACCAACATCCCCACACCTGACCTGTGGACACCCAGTGCTCCAGTATCTGAAACCTCTGCCCCCCACCAGCCAACGCTAGACACATCACACATGAATCTTACAATACTTAAGCCAGTTTGCTCTCTACTGCCCAACAGATGATGCCAGTACTGAGGATATGGGCTAATCTCCAGTATCTAATTTCTTAGTCCACCACCAGCTAACACTCAACACCTAATTACCTAGATAGGCAACAGTGACACATCCAAACATTCAATATTTTCAAAACCCTACCTCTGGTTGAAGCCCAATGACCAATAGTGGACACCCCAACTCCTTAAACTACAGGCAACATGCACCCAAATAAGCAATTATCCTACATGGCCATTCCAACAATTGATATCTTTCCTGCCTCCATATCTACTGGTCAGTATCTGTGATATTGCACCAAAACACCTATAAGCTTTAATAAGTAAATATCACTATATTTGTGACATATAAGTAATAAATGATCAGTTCCTCCTTACCCCAACCTGTATCACTCCCACCTCCATCAGGAAACACTTAGTACACCAACACCCTGATACCTAGGGTCTACCACCTTGCACCCCCACACAATACGTGGATCTTCCATGCATAGCACCACCAGTAGTATGAGAACCCCAGTCTCCGCTGGTTCAGCCCACCCTCAGTATGAGAACCCGTTTGATGATGGTCAGAGTACTTGTACCTAGGTGAGCCCTCACCTAGCCACAAGTACCCTGGTTCTTATTATAGTCAGTCACCACCCCAGCCTAAGCCTAAATGAATTCCGTCCCCTCAGTCCTCACCAAACGCTTGATAGATGTTTTCCCAACATCCCGTACATCAGCAGCAATTCCATGAGGTGGGATAGCAACACTAGAGTTCCAGCACATTCACTCCCAAGAGATCTCTCTGTTATCAGATTCCCCCCACCACACACAGCCCCACTGATTTTTAGGCCCCACGCATGTCCACCCTGATGCTGAAGTTGGGTTCTGGGGTGTGGTCAGTGGCCTTGATCTACCACAACCCACAGGTGGGAGGATCGCCCAGACTTTGTGACCGTGGAGCAGCGCATACGGACCTACTACTACAGCTTGGCGAGCAAGGTTGAGGGCCCCCCGGGGTGTGGAAAAGGGACTGAGGCTGCTTGTGCCTGAGCTTCAGCCCGCCGGGGGCTCTTGGGCCTCTACACCCCAGCCCTTTCTCCTGCACACTCAGGCCTGGCCCAGGACCTCTGTCTGGAAGGGTACTCCTTGCCTGGCTACTTGTTCTGTCTGGTTAGAGGGGAGAAATGGGTGGTGTAGCCTGGTCCTGGCCTGGTGTTCACTGGGGGACTCTGAGGTGAGGGGGTGCTACTTACAACGAGGACCCTTTTTCCTCTGGGCCCTGAAGGGCAAGCCGCCGGGAATCTTCAGGTTTCAAGTCCTTGATCATTGGAATAAACTCAGCTTTTCTCTTGCTTGAGATGCCTCATCTTTTCTGGGGAAAAGATGGGGCCAAGAAATGGGGTTGGGTCACTGGAAGGGGTCAGTGAGAATGCCTGAAAGCAGTTTTTCTTTTGTGGGCCTGGACATGATCCCCAGGATTGGAGGGCTGGGTTTCTCACACCTCCACCCTGGGGACTTGTTTATAGAAATTAGGGGGCTATGGCAGAGTGGGGAAATTGAGGCAGGCTGAGTGGGGGGCAGGGGCTGTGTGCACTGTGATCTCAGTGTCCCCACTCCTGTGAGTTGCATGAGAGGGATGCCCCCACGCTGGTGGCATGTTAGCACCACTTGGACAGATTTTAATAGAAGCCTATCCCTCCTCCCATCTCTCCCTCCCCAGGGGAAATATGCTAGAGGATTTTAAAGTCTCTTCAGGTGATCCTATTACCCAGTGTCTGACCTTCCTCCCTGTGACCATAGTTTTCAAAGCTAGATATTTTGCAGGCTCATCTCTCAGGTGTATGTATTAAAAGTTGGGGTGACTGGGCCCTCCCTGGTGGCGCAGCGGGTTAAAGCACAGCACAAAGAAGCTTAAGCCACTTCCACATGAGTTTGATCCCCGCCTGCCCCGGAGGGGACCACATGGCGTGGCAGACCTCTCCTGACCCGCCCGCTGCTCCCCTCAGCAGTGTACTTCGTCAATCTGCCTGTTCTGCTCCCTGCTCTGTCTCTGGTGAATCCTCTTACCCTCCGCATCTCCAGCCTGTACCCCAGTTCTGTACGAATAAATAAATAAATCTTTAAAAAAAAAAAGTCAGTCTTGGCCCTCCCTGGTGGCGCAGCGGGTTAAAGCACAGCACTGAGAAGCTAAAGCCACTTCCGCATGAGTTCGATTCCCGCCTGCCCCGGAGGAGACCACATGGCGTGGCAGACCTCTCCTGACCCGCCCGCTGCTCCCCTCAGCAGTGTACTTCGTCAATCTGCCTGTTCTGCTCCCCACTCTGTCTCTGGTGAATCCTCTCACCCTCCGCATCTCCAGCCTGTACCCCAATTCTGTACGAATAAATAAATAAATCTTAAAAAAAGTTGGGGTGACTAATTGACCTTTCTCAGGAGGACAGCCCTGGATGTTGAATACCTTTTGGATATGGATCAAAGGGATGAAGACGGCAGGATTATGGCTAGATGGTGTGTCTGCCTCTTCTACTTGCTTTGATGTTCTCTCCCCCCGCCCCCCACCATTTGTCCAATATGTGGGAGTTGCTCAGTGAGTTTGTGGTTGTGTTTTTCTCCCAGAGGAAGTTATTCCATATGGAGTTGTATATTTGGTGTATCCATGGGAGGAGGTGAGCTCAGGACCGTCCTCCATTTCCATCTTGAACCAGAACTTCTGTGGTACTCCTTTAAGAGAGCTTTTATTTGCTTTGTCTTCAGATATAAATTCTTTTAGTTTGGAGGGGGGGGACTTCATGAAGTAGTTGCGACTGTGTCAGCGCTTCAGGCTGTTTCGCCTGTGTGCTTGCTGAGAGCATGTGCCCTGGATCTTATGTATTAGGGCCCCTGTCCTAGTCCCAGCTTTGTTGGGTGGGTGGGGGCTTCAGCTCTGGTCTCTGGGCACCTCTGCTCTTGGCCCTTGTTCCTGTTAGCGTCTTGCTATTATTTCTGAGTGTTTTAATTTCGGATAGGCAGTTTCAGCAGGTGCTTGGTTTTCTATCTTGAATTGAAATGAAATTTTATTATCTGTAAACATTTCACAAGTGAGGAAGTGGAAGCTTATCGAGGCAGCATGACGTGCTCAGCCACATACATGGGAGGGACAATTATGATCTCGCTAACCCCTCTCCACTCCTCCGCTTTTGGTTGTCGGGGTGCTGATCTTGTCTCTGATTAATTGCCAGCTCTGTGTTCTATAGACACTTATTTTCTCTGTGAGCTGGGGAGACTGATCTTTCCCTTCAGATATGCTGAATAAACTCAAAATTGTGTCCTTGACAGGACAAATGAATAAAGCGGCAAGGTTTAACTTTCACAGGTGTGGCCTCTGGAGTCTGTTGGACAGGCAGGACATTTAACCTCTTGGGGCCTCAATTTTCTCATCTGCGAAATAAGAATTGCACTTACTTCTCTGGATGTAAAAGGGTGAGGCAAGAAAATGTACATAGTAGGTGCTAAATAAATATTAGTCCCCTCCATGGTGGAAGTCAGACTCGGGGATTGGAGGGGTGGGGACTGTGACAGCTGAAGCATCATATTCTTGAAGGGTTTTGGGAGTCAGAGGGAGGAGAGGTTCTCCTTGAACCCAAAAAGAGAATAAAATATTGCAATAAGGATCGAGAGAAGGCAGGTTTTTACTCCATGTAGGGAAGTGATCGGAACTCATGCAATCAGGAGGAGTTGACTTTAGGGAGAATGATCTCCCTGGCACTCAAAGGGACCAAAAAGAGCCCAGAAATGAACCCAAATGTCAATGGCCAATTGATTTTTGATAAATGTGTGCGATCCACTGATTGGGAGATGAATAGTCTCTTCAACTAATGGTGCCAAGAAACTGGATTTTCACATGCAACTTTCTAACTTTCACATGTAATTAGATTTCTTTCTCATACTATATACAAAATTTACAGAAAATGGATCAAAGAGTGCTAAAACCAGAAAACTCTTAGAGAAAGAAAATAGTGGTAACTCTTCAATGCCTTGTGTTTGGCAATAGGACTCTCAAGATATAAGGTACAAAAGAAAAGTTGACTGAACTTCATCAAAAAACCCAAAACTTCTGTGCATAAAAGATATGACTACAAAAGTGAAAAGACAATCTACAGAATGAGCAAAATATTTTCAAACCATAAATCTGATAAGGATTTAACATGCAGAATACATCAAGAGCCCCTTAGCTTGACTAAAAAGAAAACTCATTTAAAAACTGGAGAGAGGACATGAATAGACACTTTTCCAAAGAAGATATAAAAATTGTCAATAAGGACATGAGAGGACGCTCATCATGATTAGCTTAAGGGAAATGCAAGTCAAAACCACAGTGAGGTATGCCTTTACATTTACAGGGTGGTGTCATAAAAAAAAAAAAAACCCTCACAAAATGATAGCAAGTGTTGGCGAGGATGTGGGGAAGTTGGAGCCCTCATATAGCTAGTAAGTCATAGGCCTAAAAATGGCCAAGTTGGAAAATTTTGTGTTATGTGCGTTTTATCATCATTTAAAAATAAACTTAAAAAACCACAGTTGAAAAGAAAATAAGACAGTTACTAATTGAAGTCCAGTCAGGATCAAGATAAAGTGGTTTCCTTCCTAGTGGTGTTTATCCTCACCACAATCATGTTTGTGAGCGCTGTTTTTAAAGTTTCAGTTTGAGCAAGGACGCAAGCAGAACATTCAGAGGAGATTATGGTCATGGGGGGATTTTGCTGCCGTAAACCAAGTGGCCTGATAGTTGGGGAACTGCAAAGTGTGGGGCTGATGCTGCAAAGTGTGGGGTTGGGGGGGTTGATGATGAGTAGGGAAACACACATCTGAGGATCAAAACTTTGAGCATGAAATGTTATGCTGACTGTTAAGGTGCCAGAGGTTACATGGAGGAGGGTGATAGGGAGACGCAGTTTCTCTCTGTTGAGATCAAGCCAGAGGCGATGTCTCAGTCCCTAGCAGAAAGTTGCCATGTCTGTGTATAATAAGGGAGAATCCAAACTCATGACCAGGCCTGTCCCTAATTCACAAGTAGAGGGTGAAGGAAGCAGCATGAAGGGATAACTATCCATTGTGCTCAGAGTGGACTCAAACTCCACACTATTGTTCCAGAAAGCACTTCCTTGAAATCACTGTGTTGGGACAGTGTTTGTAATGAAAGACTAACTGCTCACTGCACTGGGCAAGTTTTTAAGTAGGTTTTGTGTGATCAGAAGAGACTTGTTTTGTCTTTTAATGTTATATATGTTTCTTCTTTCTCTCTGTAATGTAATTTTGTTTATCTTCTTGTTTGGGTGTGTGCCAGGAGGGGAGCATCTAAGAAAGAAACTTGTGAATAATCAATCTATTCTGTCTTGATTTTTGCCTTGAACTGGCTTGCTAAACTGCAGGAGTATTGTTAGCTGTGAAGCAGAAATATCAGTGTCTTTTACAATTAAAGATTATATTGGGGCCTGCGCAGTGGGTTAGAGCACAGCACTGAGAAGCTAAAGCCACTTCCGCATGAGTTCGATCCCCGCCTGCCCCGGAGGAGACCACATAGCATGGCAGACCTCTCCTGACCTGCGCGCTGCTCCCCTCAGCAGTGTGCTTCGTCAGTCGGCCTGTTCTGTCTTTGGTGAATCCTCTCACTGCCCCTGCACCCCTGGCCTGTACCCCAGATTTGCATAAGCAAATAAATCTTAAAAAAAGAAAATTATATTGAGCTGACTCTTGTGACTCAGCTCCTTGGGCTGTTTGTAGCACCCTGCACATGTTCCGGGTCTGTAGTTCTTTTCCTTCCATTGTATCATCTGCTATAAAGTAGTTCACTGGTATTTCTTAGAAAGTCCTCCATGAAAAGTTTATCCAGTGTAAACTTGTCAAGATCCATGCCATCTAAAAGTTATTCTTGACTTTGTTTTGATAAAATGTACTTAGTAGCACTATAAGGCCAATTTTTAATTTCAGAGAATAACAGAAAGATAGGAAAGTCTCCCAATATTTGGAAATTAAACAGCAGACTTCTACATAGTCCATGCCAAAGAAGTGTC